GCCAGCGAGCCCCCCCCCGAAAACCCCCGTGCCAAACATCGCCAAGCCTGTGTGCTGGGGGGGGGGGGGAGAGAAAAAGCAGAAATGTCAGGAGCATGACTCTTCTTTTTTTTGCCACGACTTTTACACTGTTCCAGAAGGCAACCTCATTACCCAAAGGTCTAGCTGCTGATAGAGCTCCACCCCTCCAGTCCATCTGAGACTTATTAACACCTTGCAAGACTGTCAGATGCAAAGGTTCCCTGCATACCCCTTCCTTGCCCATTTCTGTCTCAAAAGCCTGCCTTATCCTGCCTAGTCAAGATGTGTAAAACATATGGTCTGGGGATCAGACCCTGCTTGTCCAGGGCTCTTATCCGGCCCACAAGCAACTGGTGTGAGGGAAGGAAGGCAGGAGGCTGGTCGGGGGGGGGGAGCGGGGGGGCAGGCGCACACTGTGAGGTGTGTGTGGTCCAAGCTGTCAGGAAACAGAAAGGGAATGGCTAGGTAGCAGGACTGTGAGCCTGAGGTAGAATAGTGTGTGTGGGGGGGAATGGCAGCCAAGGCGGAGAAAGAGGAGGCCTGGTATTTTCCCCCCTCCTGCCGCTTCCCACCGCAGCCCAGCTATGACTGCCAAAGCCACTACATGGAGGGGCAGAGCCAAGCAGCCGGCACTGCCACCCCCACACCAAGGCACTGCCACCCCCACACCAACCAGCTCCATGTTTTTTCAAACAGTGGCCATGAGGAGGGCTGGCTAGAGCGGCCATGTGGAGTGGCAGTTTGCCGACGATGGGGTGGGGCCAGCAGGGGAGAGAGGGTGAGGAGGGCCGGTGCATGGATTGGTAGGCAACTGGGCTGTCAGGCCTTCCCCTCAGCCCTGCCGCTTCTGTGGGAAATGGAGGAGGGATGAGAACTGGCGGTGGGGGAAGACCTGGGAGAGCCAAGTTCCCAAGTTCCCCCCCCCCCCCCTGAGCCAGGAACCTGTCGTCTGGGACACCCGGGGCCGGTTGCTCAAGTAAACCACCTTGTAGGGTTGTTGGGGATGGGGTAGTGGAGGGGGAAGTCTGGTATGCCTCCTCGAGATCCTCAGAGGTAGGACAGGGGAAGAGAGGAAACAAAAAGTGAGAGAAGGATCGTAGCCATGTTCGGCTGCTGAGACCAGGCGTACGGGGGAGTGCTGAAAAACCACCTTATTTACTTGCTAGGACAATGACTCATCTCCTTAAGGTTTCCGTTGGAGAAAACCTAGTCTTGCATATGATTAAATACATTCATTGGGGCTTTTGTGGATTCCCCAGTAAATCAGTTGTTTTCGTTCCTAGGAAGCAATTGCTTTTGTTTGCATTTTGAGTAAAGAATAATATCGTTAATTGGATTGGCCTGTGTCACTTATAAAGTTTATATCTCCAGTACCTGTCATTATGTTTTATGGCACTTATGGCCCGGCCTGACAAAGTAACATTTATGTCAGAACCAGCCCTCATAACAAATGAGTTCAATACCTCTGTGCGAAGTGATATGGAGAATTACGCCACACAGCGGGTGCAGAGGTGCAGATTGGGGTAAAGCAGCCACATGTATGCATAACAGGATCAATCACCCTTCAAGGAAATAGCTTTACTCATCCACTGTAATATTCCATCTACTTCTGTAATCGGGGGGTCGGGAATGTCCTGTGCCTTTAATAGAGGCTTAATGTGTGGAAATGTGCAGTGGAAAAACTTGCGAGTGCAGGTAGGGAAATCACGTCCCACGAAGCCTCTATTAAAGGGACATCCCCCCCCCCCATTTTGCCAGAAGAGAGAAGGCAAGGCGGGGGCAGGCAGTCCAAAGGGAGCAAAAGAATGAATGGAACCCAGAATGAGCCTGGGAGGGGGGAGTCACTTTCACTTGGATCCCTGAGGAAAGAACAGGACTAAACCCTTTTAAGTCCACCAAAGTCCTCTGTAAGCACTGTTCCCTCTAAGCTGAGTTAGTGTGAGCTAGCTCACAGTTTTTTAGCCTCCGGCTCACAGATTTTTGCCTTAGCTCAGGAAGGAGGGCGCCAGTGCAAACTAAGGTATGCAGCAGCCTAATCGCTCGCTCACTGCTTTAATGCCCGTAGCTCACAAAGTGGAATTTTTGCTCACAAGACTCCACAGCTTAGAGGGAACATTGACTGTAAGTAACATCTCTCACTGCTCTGCAAATAATTTGCTGCTTTCTCCGCCTCGCCTGTGTCCCCGAGATAAGGCCCATGTGCCTGCGACTGTTTCAGATAAGGACGTGTGTCGGCTAAGTGCCTAGTTGCTGGTCAGAAAGATTGACTGAGGTGTCAAACAAGAGAACAGTGCTTGAGTGAAATTTGAACAAAGCACTGGCATTTCCTGGGAAGCGTGTCTAATTTAATTTGGTTAAATAGCAATGTGATGGTTTTTTTAACTGTACCTTATTATTCTTTTTCTAAATCCGGGATCGCTGCTCCACCAGATAATTGCTATAGTCCTGCGGCTGTAATACAAATGGAGAAATGTCTCAACTGAAGGATATTTTCTCACACTTAAGAAACACTTGTTTTTAACAAGACAAAGATTTGGGAAATACTGCAAATTTGGGGGGGAAGAGAAAGTGCACGAAACTTCCAGCAAAGAAACACCAAACATCGCTGTGAGTCATAAGAGTCATGGATAATTCGTGTCCCGTATCCAAAGTAAAAGAGACTGTAACCAACCTCTGACAGTAGCCTGGCCACCGCGTTTTGTACCGACTGGAGTGTCTGAACCATTTTCAAAGGCAGCCCCCATGCAGAGTGCATTACTGCAACCTCACCTGGGTGTGATCGGGGCATTAATCGCTGTGGCCAGATCACCGTTTTCGAGGAAGGTCTGTAGCTGGTGAAGGAGCTGGAGCTGATAAAAAGCGCTACGTGCCACAGAGAGACCAGAGCCTCCAACTGCAAGCCAGGATCCAGTAGCAACCCCAAGCTATGAACCTGCTCCTTCTGGGGGAGTGCAACGCCCTCCAGGACAGGCTGGCTCAGCCGCCCCATTGATCAACAGCACCTCAGTCTTGTCTGGATTGAGCTTCAGTTTATTGGCCCTCATCCATCCCATTACATTCTCCAGGCACCCATTCAGGACTTCGACAAACCAGTCTGGCTTTGCTGTTGAAGAGAAACAGAGCCGGGTGTCATCTGGAAACTGGTGACACCTCAGTTCAGATACCTGTTGATTTCTCCCAGCGGTTCCATGTAGATGTTAAATTGCCTGGGGGAGAAGATAGAACCCCGTGGGACCCCAAAACATCCAGACCACGGGGCCAAGCAGGAGTCCCCCAGCGCCACCTTCTGGAATTGGTCAAGTAAGACCAGAACAACCAAAGCACGGTGCCCCCCACTCCCAGCCCAGCCAGCCTCTTCAGAGGGACACAATGGTTAAGGGTACTGAAAGCCTCTGAGATATCCAGGAGAATCAACAGGGACTTGCTCCCCCACCACTCTCCCAGCAAAAATCATCAGGCAGGTTGACCAAGGTCATTTCCATCCTACAGCCAGGCCTGAATCCAGATTCAAATGGGTCTAGGTTAATGTCATCTGGCCACTGGGGCCATCAGAAACTGACTACTGGAGCAGATACCCCGACTCCTTGGAGGACCTCCCCTCCCAATGCAAATAGCCCTACTGAGCACAGTGGGACTTCCTTCTGAGTAAACATGCATAGAATCAGGTTACGTGTGTGTTTAGCTGGGAAGACAGTGAAACAGGACATGAGGTTAGGTTGCTGAATGCTGATTCTATGCTTTGCATCTGAAGCCCCACGCATACAATAATGAAGTTCAGTACTGGTAAGGCACACCCATTCAGGACTTCCACAAACCCGTCTGGCTTTGCTGTTGAAGAGAAACAGAGCTGGGTGTCATCTGGAAATTGGTGACACCTCAGTTCAGATCCCTGTTGAGTTCCGTGTAGATGTTAAATTGCCTGGGGGAGAAGAGAGAACCCCGTGGGACCCCAAAACATCCAGACCACGGGGCCAAGCAGGGGTCCCCCAGCGCCACCTTCTGGAATTGGTTGAGTAAGACCAGAACAACCAAAGCACGGTGCCCCCCACTCCCAGCCCACCCAGCCTCTTCAGAGGGACACAATGGTTAAGGGTACTGAAAGCCTCTGAGATATCCAGGAGAATCAACAGGGACTTGCTCCCCCACCACTCTCCCAGCAAAAATCATCAGGCAGGTTGACCAAGGTCATTTCCATCCTACAGCCAGGCCTGAATCCAGATTCAAATGGGTCTAGGTTAATGTCATCTGGCCACTGGGGCCATCAGAAACTGACTACTGGAGCAGATACCCCGACTCCTTGGAGGACCTCCCCTCCCAATGCAAATAGCCCTACTGAGCACAGTGGGACTTCCTTCTGAGTAAACATGCATAGAATCAGGTTACGTGTGTGTTTAGCTGGGAAGACAGTGAAACAGGACATGAGGTTAGGTTGCTGAATGCTGATTCTATGCTTTGCATCTGAAGCCCCACGCATACAATAATGAAGTTCAGTACTGGTAAATCCAACAAACGGTTTCACAGAAAACATGAGCTCAGGCAGAGGACGATAATACAGGTATGGACATATTAAATGTATGTTATATACACATATTAAATGTGTGACGAAGGCATTTTCCCCCTCCACTTTATGACAAACAGTAGCTAAATTTTGGGAGCATTCTTGGGGGGGGGAAGGATTCAGTGGCCAGATTCTGAAGGGGGACCATCGGTTGACCATTGCTGGGACAGGCAAGGTCAAGATACAAGGATCTGACTTTATAAGGCTGCAAATTAATATAAATTAGAACACACCAGTGCAAAGACAGGGAAGGCTGATCTCGAATACCTGAAGCTGCCTTTCACAGAGTCAGACCACTGGTGGATCATGGGGAGTACAGTCTCCTTGGACTGGAAGGGTCTCTCTGGGATCTCTTTCATGTCACTTACTACCTGATCCTTTTAACTGAAGCTGGTAGGGATTGAACCCGGGACCCTCTGCATGCCAAGCTACTGCTCTGCCACTGAGCCACGGGCTCTTCCCCAAAGCCCCTGGTGGACTCCAGGTAGGGTATAATGCAGTGGGGTCCATTGCTTACCTGAAGCAAAAGTGCTCTCCTCTGCTTGACAATCAGAGCAGGACAACTTGAACACATGAAGGTGCCTTCTACTGGATCAGACGCTTGGTCCATCAAATTCAGTAGTGTCTCCTCAGACTGGGAGCGGCTATCTGAAGCCTGCATTACAATTTAAAGCCCTTCCCACCCCACGCATACGATCATGAATTTCAGTACTGGTAAATCCAACAAACGGTTTCACAGAAAACATGAGCTCAGGCAGAGGACGATAATACAGGTATGGACATATTAAATGTATGTTATACACACATATTAAATGTGTGACGAAGGCATTTTCCCCCTCCACTTTATGACAAACAGTAGCTAAATTTTGGGAGCATTCTTGGGGGGGGGAAGGATTCAGTGGCCAGATTATGAAGGGGGACCATCGGTTGACCATTGCTGGGACAGGCAAGGTCAAAATACAAAGATCTGACTTTATATGGCTGCAAATTAATATAGATTAGAACACACCAGTGCAAAGACAGGGAAGGCTGATCTCGAATGCCTGAAGCTGCCTTTCACAGAGTCAGACCACTGGTGGATCATGGGGAGTACAGTCTCCTTGGACTGGAAGGGTCTCTCTGGGATCTCTTTCATGTCACTTACTACCTGATCCTTTTAACTGAAGCTGGTAGGGATTGAACCCGGGACCCGCTGCATGCCAGCCTTTCACAGAGTCAGACCACTGGTGGATCATGGGGAGTACAGTCTCCTTGGACTGGAAGGGTCTCTCTGGGATCTCTTTCATGTCACTTACTACCTGATCCTTTTAACTGAAGCTGGTAGGGATTGAACCCGGGACCCTCTGCATGCCAAGCTACTGCTCTGCCACTGAGCCACGGGCTCTTCCCCAAAGCCCCTGGTGGACTCCAGGTAGGGTATAATGCAGTGGGGTCCATTGCTTACCTGAAGCAAAAGCGCTCTCCTCTGCTTGACAGTCAGAGCAGGACAACTTGAACACATGAAGCTGCCTTCTAATGGATCAGACCCTTGGTCCATCAAAGTCAGTAGTGTCTCCTCAGACTGGGAGCGGCTCTCCGGGGTCACAGGAAGAGGTCTTTCCCATCACCTGGCCCTTTTAACTGGAGAT